AAGAAGAAGAAGAAGAAGAAGAAGAAGAAGAAGAAGAAGAAGAAGAAAGGAATAAGCAGAGTATGTTTAGAGAAACTTGAGGAAATCAAATGAAATAAAAGTATTATTTGAGAGTAATTTATTTTCTTTTTTGTCAGTTTGTGTGCAGCACTTTTATTTATTTATTTATTTTTACCCGATGGTGTGTTGGGCATTACAGTTCTCAATTCTTAGGATGACTTACAAATTTTGGTAACTGAGAGTAATTTATTACTGGGCTGGATGGGTTGTGGACATGACACCTTGAAGGTCTTAGATATAAGTAGGTGACCATCTGGCTCGGATAGTTTAAGTGCCAGCATGCTTAGAGACATGGAAAAGACTCAGGGAGAGATTGAGGTGAGGTGAAGCTATTTCACCTTGTTGTGGGTGCTGGTTGAAAAGGGAGAATAAAATGGAGATCAGGTAATTGTGTGGATAACCAAAAAACCTCCATCTACTTTTGCTTCCATTTTCTGCCTTGCATTTTCAAGTAAAAGTCAGGCTGAATTGTCTGAACAATGGCATCATTTGGTGTTTTGCTTGTAGACTCAAACTGTGGCCAGAATAAAAGGAATGAGAAGGAAGCAATGGAGAAGGGATTGGGGGTGGGTGGGACCATAAGGGAAATCGGGGCAGGATGAAGAATAAATAACTAACACCTCACTCGAGCAACTGAAAATCAGAGAACTGGAGAACCAACCTTCATCCCTGCAGATAAATCCTTTGGGATGATGCAAAAAAGCAAGTCGGCCTCCTTTAAGCAAGAAAAAGGGGTGTTTGGGCAACAAGGTAAAGCTCTATCAATGTGCTTGATGCTTTCCCAGGTGTTTTTTCACCTGTCTCCCAGGCTTTCTTAGTCCCAGAAATTACAGTGTCTTTGATAATCCCAAAGCACAGCCCCTTCTCCAGTTTTGTGGGGTCTGTGTCCCCCTCTCAGCTGCTGCTAAGAGCTGGAGAAGTGGACAAGTTAAAACTCCAGTGTGGTTCTAGTACAGAAACTGGGCATGCTCAGTAGCCAAGGGAGGTTTGGGTTGCAAATAAGACGCTTTCTCACTCCACATGCAGCAGAACTGCCAGGCTGGGAAGGAACAGACAGTAATGCGACCAGAAATCCATTCCCCACCGCGTTCGCAGTGAGTGCTCGTTCCCGAAGGCGTTAACCATAATAGATCAGGCATCTGTCCCAAGCCTACTTGGAACCCGACCCTGCTCCCTCCTCCCGCCCTCTCTTTCCCTCTATCCACCTCCCCTCCCCTTGGGAAACCTAGGGAAGGAGGGTCTGCTTGCTGATTTCTGTCAGCGCCACAGACCTCTCCACAATATCCAGGGCGAGATCTAGGAATCTTCGGACACGAACAGGGAAACAGGAAGACACTTGGCCATCGACTCTTATTGCGCTTTGCCAGTGGTGAGATCGCCCGGGGTTGATTCTCCTCACCTCTCCATGCAGTCACTATGCAGAGAGCAATCGGCTTCCCTGCACTGTGCCTGCTTGTTAATCTCCACGCTGCAGGTAAGATACTGCCGCGCTTTTAGCCAGAGACCTAGGCGAGCCTCGCAGTCGCACATGTTGGAGGACTGGAGGAAGAACCTGTCTTGGGATGTCAGGGATAGGATAGGAAAAGGGAAGGCAAGACGGTGCCTGGTGGGAAGAGAATGAGGGACGCACCTGTTGGTGGAAAAAGGGAAGGAGCTTAAGCTAAAATTGGAACTGGTATATATGCTTATATACAATATATGTATATATGTGTGTGTATACATACACATGCATGTATATTTTCGCATGTATGTATTACGTGAGTGCAATGAGATGCATCGTAGACATGTCTTATTCGTAATACTAATATCCACGTTTTCATTGAACGTGCAGGATTTTGATTCCCCCAGACCTATTCGTGTGTGATGTACCTGGATCTGTCTTTAGGAGTGTGGTAAAGATTTCTGCTTGAAGGAACCTTATTTATAACTATAGGTTCTCTTGGTAAGCAGGTTTAAATAGAGCTCCCATAAATGCATTGGCCCAAATCTGGTGGACCACATCCCCGCCCAAAGGATCAAAATAAATGGCCCACATCGAACTGCTTAGGCTACTCTCCGAATCTTTGGTCCCCTTCTCCACCAATAGCTGGAATAAATTGGTTTGACTGAGACTCGGCCTCATGAATTCAGAACCATGGTCAGCGCCTGCTGTAAATAAAAATCGAACCATAGTTTTAAACCCTGAACACTGCGGTAGGCACTGTCCCTAAGACAGATTTACTACTCTGTTGGAAAGAGCAGCTGTGAGATTGGCCAAAATCTCACGGCAGTTTGTATTAAACCAGAGCCAGGTGTCTTAGTGAAGCAAACCAGGAGATATAAGAATAGACCTGGATGTTATGTGAAGTCACCAAAGGCCATGCTTTCTAGATGTGATCTCTATGTACTGTAGCCTGAAAGGATCTGCTAAACAGACAGAGTAAATTCTTTATGAAAAAAAAAAAGACTATGACAAGGAGGTTTTTAGCAATAGTGCTGCAACAGCAGTCTTCTTTTAGCACTCAAGCAACCATAAGACTGTGAATCTTTCATGAGCTTGCATAATTAAGAAATATCATGAAGGGAAAAAAATGCCTTGCAATTTTTGTTGTTAATGTCCCTGAAGTAGCTGTTAGAGTTTTTTTTAATTGTTGGTATTTTTGTAGTGAAATAATCAAATTTTAAAATTTCACTTTTCCATTTTTCCCTGAAGCTTTCCTCAAGTTTAACATATTATGGATCATGGAGAATGCAATAGACATACCTATTGAGGTTGTGATTAAATAACAGTTTCAACTGTTGCCAATAAAGCATTCCATTTTGAGATTTTCTGTAGTTTCCAAGTGGTATGACTTGATTGCAGAGGTATGATTCAGTTAATTGCAAACACAATTTTGATTTTATATCCCCCAATTTTCACAGTTCCTTAAATATTCCAACTGGATTGAGATCAAGGAGGCAAAAAAAATTAGGTTCATATGGGAAATAATAAGGTTTACTTCTAAAATATTCTATCAAATAATATGCTTGTATCTACATTTTGAAAAAAATACAATTCCTCACCCTAATTTAGATATTAATCAGGTGAGCTATCACATAATTAATATAGTCATTTTAAACAAGAAACCATGAAATAAAATCAAGATGCCAACACTGAATGTCACATACATCATATACAGATGGTCTCTATTTTTAAAATTACATTTAGAGAAATTAAAAGTGTAAGTGTGTACACTATTGATAACTTTACTGAAGATGTCTGTAATAAGATGGAATGGAGACTCCTGTTCAGAGGAAAAGACTGGAAGTCTTAAGTCTCAGATTATATCCAGAGCTCTGCCAAGGGAACAGTGTAAACAAAGCCAAATCTATTCATCTCTGTTGCCATCTGAAAGCAGAAATGACCATGGTGTTCAGTAATTTTAGTCATGTCCTACTCTTCATGACCCCATTTGGGGTTTTCTTGGCAAAGATACTGAATTAGTTTGCCATTCTTTCTCCAGCTCTTTTAACAGATGAGGAACGGAGGCAAACAGCGTTAAGTGACTTCCACAGGGTCACACAGCTACTAAGTGTCTTAGGGCAGATTTGAACTCAGGAATATGAATCTTCAGGCCTGGTACTCTATCCACTATGCCACCCAGGTGCCTAGAAATGACCATGCTTCCTATCAGAATTTAATGAATGAATGCACATTAATTTTTTTTCCTTTCCAGAATCTTAGATGCAAAATTCTTTAAACTAACAAATTATACTTACCTTTCATTAATTCCTTCAGAATGGGTGTTTTGCTAGAGCAGATTGCAATTTTGACGTTTTGGTAATTGTCAGTTTTATGTCAATGCATTTTAATTTAAACAACAAATTGGGACGAATGAACTATCAGATTAAAATTCAAACCTGCCATGTATCAGAATTTTTTTGTTGCTTTTTGTTATAGAACTGAGGTAAAGACTGATTTTTTCTTTGTCTCTTGTTCATTTGGGTCAAACATGGGGAAAAGGGGCTTGAGAGGAGAGATAAACTATCACCTTATGAATTGCTGGCTTGTTGACCACTACAGCTTTTTTTCATAATAGCATTTTTTTGGTGTCAAGATGGACATAAATTTTATAAGGAAAGGAATGACTTCTATACTTACATATTTTAAATCAAAAAGTTGATTGATTCATTTTGGGCATTCCAATAATATGAAAAATTACTAGATGCTGGTGGAACTGAGGGTACAAAAGGAAATTGCAGTGAGTGTTTAAAGGTTTTTGAGATGAGAGAAACACTTAAGACAAGTTGGTAAAGAATTGGAAAATTAGATGCTTTATTGCTTCCCTTATCAGTAAGCTGTTTTGGATAGGTAGACATTGGGTAGATCTGGGAGAAATATCAAGTAGATTCTGAACAACATTTAGATCCTCTTTTTCTTCCCCCATGAAAAGCATTGTATTGTTACATAGGAGAACCAGCTCCTTGTAGACTCAGACTTTGGATCTCCACTAAAGCACAACTTTCAGTGCCTCATGGTGCGGTAGAGTTGATCCTAAATTCTCAATGACTTTGCTAGAAGAGCACAACCTTTGGGAGGTTCTACCAAGCTGGAAAGGCCAGGCATGCCTACTATTGGTCAAGGATCAGCTTAGTTAAGTTCATAGAGGCACATCAGAGGTTGGCTTCAGGTGATGATATTTTATGGCCACAACAGCTCATGAAAACTCACAACTATAACACAGGTGATGCTGTGATGTGTACAATAAAATGATGGACCTTTTGAAATATTAAAATATTTTAACTAAAGTAGGTTGAAGGTTCTGAGGTATCTTGGAAAATTTCCCTTTGAGGAATATAATTCTCCAATGAATAGCCATGACATGTTTATGTCTACCCTTTCCTTCCAGAGTCTTGTAAGGTTTTCAGAGGGATGACAGAGACCAATTGTAGCACACTACTTACGAGCCTACTCTGTGCTCGTTTGCTGTTTGCAAAGGTCCAAATCTCTATCTTCCCTGGTAGCAGACATAGTCTGTATAAATGTGCCACCTTAAGTCCACGTCTCCTTTCTCTCCAAGTAGTATACCAGTCAGCCTCTCTCTATTTTTCCTTCTTTTGAGGGCGATTTGTGTTTTTATCGAATTCTGTGTGTGGTCAAGGTGAGGGTTCATTAGTGGAAAAATCTTGAGAAATATCATTCTAAAAAGAAATGATAGGTTCTATGTGAAACTGATTAGGGAAAGGCATATGGATTTTGGGCTTCTCTTGTTACCTCAATGAGCGATTACAGAGAGCCCCAATATTCATTTTCTCTCCCCCTTCTCTCTTTCTCTCTCTCTTTGTATCTCTCTGTCTGTCTGTCTCTTACACACACACACACAGAGTATATCACTTTTATGTTTCTGAGTACAGTTTTTAAGATAACTTTCTGTTGGCATCAATGCCATCTTTTAGTCAACTGGCCTCTAATTGCCCAAGGTATCCCAAGGGAATGACCTTGACCTCAGAGATTATTGCACCAACTAGGACTCAGTTTTCTAGAGCTCAAATCAAGAGTAGTTAGACAATTAACTCTTTCAGTTATTGCAGACATAGTGCACTAGGTGGTAACATAGGTTGTACCTTCACAAAGCCAGAATAATAATTTTTTTTAGTGATGAAATAATTGGCATTTCTTCCCAGGCCTTACACAAACCAAATTTTATATGCCGCATGTTTCCTTTTTTTTTTTAAATCAGTGGTTTTTATGCTCTGTAGTATACCCTTAGTGACTTGAAAGGACTGATGTAGTTAATTTACAAATGCAACTAGGGCACTAGTGAGAATCTGGCATCCTGGTGATAGACATGGTAAATTACATATTAGTTGTAATGAAGCTCAGGAGTGCTAAAGATGTTCTGAAAAGGTAAATTTTTTGAATATTGTTAAATTTCTCAATGAAGTCCTTATTTGTCATCTTTTTAAAATTAGTGTGAGTGTGATCCTGTAATACCTGGGACTCATTTTTTTATTGGCCTCATAATGGTATGAAGATTAGTAGTACAATACATTAAGTTTTATAATGCTTCTTCAATTGTTGGAATTATATTTCAGGGTAGAGAGGAAAATAATGTAAATTCAGAATAACAGCAATACTTTGTTCTATCTAGTTTACTTTGCTTCAATTTCCATTGCCCACATCCCTGCCAAAAAAACCATGTCCTGTACCTGACTTTCCTATTTCTATCAATAGCATAACCATCTAGGATTGAAATATTAGTTATCTTGGATTTCTCCCTGTCCTCATCTCCCCACATCTGATCATTCAAAAAGTCCATTCCACAGTCCTTCCACTGTGTTTCTATGATCTGTCTCTTCCTTTTGTCTCCCATTCTTGCCTCACTAGTTCTCATCATTATCATTTTATATTAGTTATTGCCATAGCCTTCTGAGTAATTTTCCAACTTCCAATCATTTTCCTCTTCCATCCGCCACCCTCACATTGCTTCCAGATTAACTTTCCTAAAATGTTTA